ACTGTCAAACAGTACAACATCCAGCCAGGCCTCAAGGATGAGATTATCAAAAGAGTAAAAGGAAATATAAATCACTGCTGAGAAAAGACAAACAAGGAGTTAGAAACTCAAGTTTCCTCTTGCTACATCACTATGGGATCAGCAATGGGCCTTGCTCTTCTACCCATCTCATGAACCTCCATCAGCACAAGCACATGGAGAATCTCAGAGAGAAGGATTAACAGTGATGCCAAAAAACATACAGAGCACAAGTAGAGTTGCTGCCTGAAGTACTTACACCCGCTTTCCCAGGATCAGACTGCAGTGTCTTCAGCTGCCTCCCTGTAGATGGAATGATGTCTCTTTACAAGGCTTTCTGTATGGACAGATGCAAAATCGTGAGCCTGCAAGAATCACAACATTGCTGCTCCACAGGCCTTAAGGCAAAGAAGAATTGAGACACCAGGATAGGGTGATAAGGGTGAGCCCTTCAGGGCTGTGGCTTTACTTGACCTCGAAGCTCACACACACTCTCCAGGCTGGTCAACACCTCACCACTCCCTTCATTACTTCAAGGACACACAATTTCTGCCTCTTCTTTCAAGGGTTTATGAGAACCATTCGCACAACACTTTGGATAATTCTGGCTTTTCCTATTGCTCCTTTCCACTGCTGAGTTTATCTCCCTCTCTCCTATTTTTGCTATGTGATAGAGAGCCCCTTTCAGGCAGCCATCCTTCTATAGGATCTCCCCACAGGGGCATTAGCTATGACCTTGGAGACGCAGCACTGAATGCGATGCTTGCTATAAACCCTCGCTGTCCTCAGCCTTATCCAGTGCCTGAGCTGGCAGAGACCATTGCATTGCTTTTAGCAGCGCCTCTGGGTGTGAAGCCTCTCCTGGAAGCCCACTGTGTGGGCAGCAGGTTGACTCCTTTGCTCCACTCTTGAATGTCACCACTCAGTACAAGTCTGCTGACTTCCCTTCTTCACAGAAACTGGCTGTGGGAAGCGTTAGAAAATCAGTTACACATGGCATCTTGGAGCCAGGAGCCACTGGTGGCATTTGCACCACCAACAGTGGTAAGGAACCTCCTGGAGAGGAGAGGAACATGTCCCACTCTGCCTTGGGGAGCACAATGTGCCATGCAACAATGAGCCATTGCAAGTGAGGAGCAGAGAAAGATCCATTTTGGATCTCGCATCAGTTTCCAGGGCTTGTAGTTAATGTCTGCAGCTACCCAAGACTGTCTCCACTGCTACCTTGTTTGTTCCCCCCAGGTTATTCACCTAGATGTTTCAAACAGCTTTGCTACATAAGTTTCCTCTGATGTGATGATGCTTGGGAACTTTAATTAGCTTTGTTCACTCCAGATACTCAAAAAAAAATCATAAGATTGACTTAAAATGAGTCTTTGGTTTTATAAATAATACACATGGGGAATTTCTCTGGGACTGATGGTAGCTCAGGCCAGAGGACTCTAGAATCACATTTCCAAATGTCTTTCCAGCAACTTCATGGTATTAAATTAAGCACGTAATCATATAAATACACCATACAACAGCAATAGAAGAACATGACTGAGGATACATGAACTCAAGTACTCAAACTAGAGAAAATCCTGAAATCTGGGTGCCTGTTCTTTCTCCAGAGCTTCTGTGCATAATAGTACCCCATCAAGCTATATAAATGCCAACTATTTTTCTCCTGAGGCAGCTGCCTTGCTGAGTGCCCAGAATGGATGATGCTCAATAAAGGAAATAGCTATTCAGTGTTATCCTCATTCATCAGTGTTCAGCCAGTGCCTTATTTGTCATTCAACCCCTGCTCTAGAACCAGAAGCTTCTTCACAGGCATTTCCTTACTGCCCTCACCACTGCAGTGAGTCAGTCAGTTCTCCCCAAACCCACATGATTTTACAGAAGGGGAACTGAGGAGCAGAGTTATTAACTGTGGGGTTTGGCAGCAGCACCTGGCACCCCGGGGTCAAGGGAAGGATACAGCGATCCATTCAGGGAGTTCGGGCAAGGCAGCAGAGGAGCCAAGCCAGCCGTGCAAATCATGCATGCAGGTCCACAGTATGGCAGGAGTGGGAGAAAAATTAAAAAGATCCTATTGTAACGTATCAGCACAGAGGCACCGAAACAACAGCCCCATTTGGGAGGAAAGCTTCATCCTTATGTAATGCTTTAACAGATAAAAGAGCTGACAGCACCAATTACACTCAAACCTACACCAGAGCAGCACCACTGCTTTAGTATGGACCAGGCTCAGAGAAACAAAATGTTTGCAGTAAAGTCTTCCAATTTCTCGTAATAAACGTAAACTCACTATTTTGCAAGAGAAAATTGAACCCTGGCTACTAGCTACACTACAGCTAGACAATTAGTAGACATTTGAACATCTAGAGACTTGTACTCTGGAGGAAAACCATGCTTAGAATGCAATACGTCAACTCAAAGAATGAAGTTCGTCTGGATCTACATTTTTCCAGCGGTCAGCATACCTTTTCTTTCCCAGAAGTGTCTCCTTTTTTCCAAAGTAGATATAAAACAATCCCTGTAGAAAGGAAAGTTTCCCAGTGGCCATCCCTCAGACAGCCCTGCGAGCATTAGGGCAGGGACTGTTCTTATTTATACACTGTGTGCCCAAGGACTTTGCTTCTGTCAAATAAAAAAAGAAATTAATTGCCTTTCCTCCAGAAATATCAGCACACTCTCCTCCTGTCCCCTACATTGACTTATCTTAGGCCACCCAGGCTTTCCAACTTCCTGCATCTTATCAGTCCCACTTGAAAGCATCTTCTCCCTCCCCCTTTTCTTTTCCCATCTAAACTTCCCTTGCACTTCCTCTCCCCTTTCCCAAAAACCAAACAAACCCACATTCTTATTCCCTAATAGAGACTGATTCATGGTTCATGCGTCAGCAGCTGCTCTCCTGGCCAGAGCCAGCTTTAATTGACACATTTCAGCTGCTGCCAAGCAATACATGACAACACCTGGGGAGCAGGGCTGCCATCGGCCCAGGGGCCAGCAGCACTGGGAACGCAAGTCAGGTGAGGGCTGGTGTGATGCAGCAGAGCAGGAGAGAACGTGCATAGCAGTTGCCTTCAGAGACTGAAAGGGAGATCCTGAATTCAATCAGTTATTCCTCAGGGTGCAACACTGGAGCACATGCAAGCCAATTAAGTCGAACAAGGGAAGAGGTGTAGGTTAAAAAAAGATCTTGGCTCAGGCTTTGGGTTTAATCTAGAACACTGGAAGAAGAAAAAAAGGCAGTTTTAAGAGTACTTTCACAGGAAGGCATTCATCCAGCGCTGTTCTCATCTCAACACCTCCAGGGACCTGCTCTGCACTAACAGCGATACCTGCCCCTCTTCCTTTCAAAAATTCTCAGTCCACATGAGGCACACCTGACAATTCTGGAGTATCAGTACCAGCCTTCGAGGCACATTCAAACAGACACTGCTCCTGTTACACTGCACAGCAAAAGGAACTGAATATTTGGACCCTGAAACAAAGCAATTTGAAGTCTGGGGTCCTTGCACATTTAATAAGGACTGCACGTGACGTTCAAAAAGCGAATCCTGACCTTCTGAAGCAGCACGTTTTCCTGCTGCACCCAGGGCGCTCTGGATTGCTGCACTAGAGAGAGTAATCCCAGGTCCTCAGCTCTGCCCCAACACAAGCCAAGGGTCCTGGAGAGCAGATGGAGCTGTTCCAAAGCTGCTGGCTCAGCAAAGCCTAATGCTGATTGCAGTGACTACATTAGCAATTGGAAGCAGTAGGCAACAGCAGATTCAACTAAAGCCTTAATCTCGTTGCCCAGAATGGTTTGTAGCGCGCACTGAGATCTGTCAATGTGAAAAACACAAGCTTATGATGTGTACGCAGAATATAGTGAGGTTTATTCATATTAAATACACCTACTGGCATCACTACTTGTCACATACTTGTTTCTCCAGGACACTGAGTTCATTCCCACTTCAGGAGACAGACCGTTTTTACTTTACATAAAATAGAGCTACCAATCTGTTTTCCCTGAAAAACGTATCACTGAAGCTAGCAAAACAATACAAATGGGATTTATTCAGTACAAACTATACAGAGATTTTCTTTTTACTGGTTTAGGGAGTTATGCACAGCGTATTATCTAGATAAGGACAAAATGATTCCAAATATACATACAGACAGCTGGAATTCAAGTGTCTCCAGTGCTAGTCAAAACCAAGATTTCTGGTATTTAGACACTTGAGTCCTGGTCCAGATTCCAATTCTCCCCGCATCCATTCAGTTTGTTTAAAATAATAAGCAAAATCCAACAATAGCCCTTTTAAAGGCTAAGCAGATTTTGCCAAAAGTAACAGTGACATGGGAAAAAGCTTGCTTCTGAAGAATGTGTTTGCTGACTAAATAAGCTTGGTCAGCCTGGCCAGAGGAGTTGTGTAGCAAATGCACTATGTGTAAATTATTTCATGCAAGTGCAGTTTTCTCCCTCTTGTACACATCTGACTTTTGTTACTCCAGACAAGCCCAGGAGAAGTAGACTGGAAGCATTTCTGATGGACAGAGAGCAAAAGGAGAATTTAACTACGGTGTTTGTCTGCAAAGGTAAACCAAATTATAACCACAATCTCACTGAAAACTAAAATAAAACTCTATAAAACAGTTAGAAAAAACCAAATATTTTCCCCACTCAAACTGGCTCATCTATTTTTGGAAAACTGCTAGAATTGTCTTGCCCAAGAACTCTGCACAATCAACCAGTATTATGTAACCAAAAGAGGAAAAAAATACAATAAATCACATGTTCTTCCCACCTAATGTTGCAATCCTTTCGGTCAATTCTGTGTGCAAGTCCCCACCCCCTCCCCACTGAAAAATCTCCAACATCCCCAAAACAGAAACTGGCATCTTGTAATGGCTATATTTCACCTACAATCTTACAGGTCCCCACTGATATCCGGGGTAACTAACAGCTCTTACCGCCAACCTAATTATAATGCGATTAAATACATTGTTCAATCATCAAAATCCGGGATATCATCATAGGAATAGCCCCGGTAGCCTTTGGAAGCGTAGTATGCAATGCGCAGGTGGTAGAAGCCTGGCAGAAACACCAGGATCCCAATGATGAGCACGGGGATAGCACGGTCCATTCCCTGCAGAGAAGACAGATGCAAATGCAGTAAGAAAAGGTCGGGGGGGGGGGTATCTTCCCCTTTCTTCTTAAGTCGTGCCTCAAGAATTCATCCCTAAGGCCTAGGTAGCTGACAAAAAATAAAAATTCATCTTGAATCAGAAATATCTCCGTTTTCTCCAGGCTGAGCTCTAAGTCCTCTCCCTGGCATCTCCTCCTTGCTACAGGAAACCCTCAACTGAACTTCTCCTTCAGATAGGAGGGGTGGCTCCTCCTAACACTAATCACATAGCAAAACTGCCAGCCACAGGCTGGGTGCTGCACGCTTGGCTGAGAGCGAGCTCTCCTATCTGGGCCTGGAGTGCTTCCGAGGCAGCCAGAACGCTGCCGTTTCCATCACGATAAGCAGCAGCTGCCGACTGTAAAGCAATTGCATACCACACAAGGTGAAAGAGGAAGTGTGCCACAGAGGAGCACCAAGTCAACTACAAACAACAGATCCCCTTTCAATGGATCATAAATACTGAGAGATGAGAAAAGCAGCACTGTGTCCTATATAGTGGTCCGGTATCTCCTACCCAAGTTACCAGATGAGCTTCACTACAAGAGGGATGATCCCAGCATGAAGTTTTTCCAGGACAGCAAGCTGACATCTGCAGGGCCGTAGCATTAAAATGAAACTGAACTCCAGGGAGGACAGGGAAACTCAGCCCTCCCCGGCCGATCTCCAGTCCAGCTACGAACCTGCTCCAGACTTACAAAGTGGAGACATCAGAGGGCTCTGCTCCCAGAGAAACAAGGCTGTCAGCAAACACCAGCAAGGCAGCGGAAGGGATTACTTCCTTGCTTACAGGCCTTTTGCTCTGAATTTCTACACTGGACATGATGGTTCATGGGTTTTGAGGAACAGACAAGCAATGCAAAACTGGTTACAGAAAGTAATCAAACCACTTACACCTTTGCTAATGTATCCTGCCAAGAGGAGAGCGCCTATGACAATGAGGAAGGTCCCAATCATGAAGAGCACAACAGCCAGTGCAATTGCCTTGTAGGGGATTTTCGGTGGGCTCTTCTTGAACTGGATGGAAAAAACCCAAATGTTAAACAACTTAACTCACCACAATTCCCCTCCCACCATGGCAGAGATGCAAATCCCACAGCTAGCAGAGATGACATGGGACAAACTGTTGCAGCAGCTCTGCTGCAGGGCTCGGTAACAGCCCTTCTGTGAGGAATCCTGCCATGGAGGCCCCTGCTGTCTGAGCCAGCGTTTACACCCACTGCTTCCAGATCTGCTCCGATTTTCACCTCCCTCCAAAGAGCTGCATCTGACCCTATTAAACAAGCCATCTTGTTTCCAGTTAAGCTCTACCAGCTTTCTGGAGGAGAAGGGCTTAAGTGGTGGTTTGCAGTTATCTTTGTATCTTTCTGAGCTGAGGATGCTCTACTGGAGATGAGCAAAAAAGCAGCCTCCTGTGCACATGCAAAGCGACAGCAGCCTTTCCTAGTAGCTTACAGTCAGAGCAGCAGCAGAAAGATGTTTCCTTCCCCACTTTTTACCTGCAGGTCAATATATCCATCATCAGTGCTGGAGAGCTTGGAATATTTGACTTTGCTACTGGGAATCCCAGCAGTCAGATTTGTACGTGATGGCATCATTACAAGGAAGCCTGGGCATCAGCTAGAACCTGGAAAACAAAGAGAACAGCAACAAAAAAATCAGAGCAAACTGGATGACAGAGTCTGAGAGACATGGATCAAGTTTCTTAAGAGAAAGAAAAGCATCAAGCCTGTACTAACCAAAAGGCATCTTTGTTCTTTCTCATAACTTAAATCTTTTCAAACAAACCCTTGTATTTGAGCCTAAAATACAAAAGCATCGATGTAGCTCCAACAGGGTTTGCCAATATTTGAAAACAAAGTCAAACTAAGGTAGAGCTTATGTTTAAAACAAGTAGAAATTCCAGATTAATATACAAAGTATAAACCAGCTCTCATTTCACAAGGAGACCACACTTCCAGCAGGGACATGTCCGAGGTCCAGCTATTTCTAAACAAGGACACTAGCAAATAAACCCAAACCAGAACTAAACAAAGCAGCTTTTCAACCAGCCGGATATTTTGCAATAGAGCCATTTTACAAAAAAAAAACCCCACTGGAAACTAGAATGAAATGGAGCTGTCATTCCCGAGACAGCTCGAGCCATGACTCAGAGGGAACATGACAAGGGGATGGAGCAGTTAGTGGATGAGGTAACCAAAGAACCAGCAAGGAACTAAAAAGCATAGGTCACTTGTCTGTCTAGCTGCGAGGGAGGCAGCGCTCAGGGTAAAGCTTTATTTAGTTACGCCAGAGCTGTACCCTGCAATTTCACCACGCCACGAAGCCGACGCCTGCAGTTTTGCTGCCAGCAGTGACAGTCCCAGGGAGAGAGGCAGGGCCAGCTCCCTTCTGTGCCTCAGAGGCCAAGTTCTCAGGAGCTGAAGCCTAGGTCTGGCCGGCCAACACATCCCTGACCGACTGCAGAGCCCTTGAGCAGGGCCTGACAGCAGGACCTGGGCGCTGGGGGTCTGCTCACCCACAGCCTTGAACCTGCACTGCAGCCCAGGGCTATGGTTCCCAGAAGCGATGCAGAAAACAGGCTGCCCGCACTCCCCAACTTCAACAGCTTTTTAATTTTCTGAGAAAATACAGAATAAAGAAAGGTGCGTATCCCAACTGTTCCAACAGGAAGAGCCAAAGATGCCTTTTCCATAACATTATTTGGCATCCAAGGTAACAGCATTCTCCTCAAAATATTTAGTCTCCACCCAAACTGAAATCTTTTGTCTCCCTCTTGCTAACTGCTAGCACATTCCCCTGCCATCAGGTTTGTTCCTTCTGCAGTAAATTTGACTTTTATAAAAAGCACCAACACCCTGTGATCTTAAACCCCCACAGTTGTACCTTTAACTTGAATTTTTTTGCTTTTTTGGTAGCAAAACTCAAGCACAGACAAAACATTTCTAGCCCCAGAATCGAAATATCACCCATCCTCAGCTCCTTACACATCCATGTTTCTCAGGCCACAGTACTCAAATACCCCCAAGGCCCCCCACGTGCCCAGGGGGTAGATGTGCAGGAGGGGAAGAAGCCAAAAGAAATCAGCACATCTGAACCTGTCAGACCACACCTGAACATTTCCTGACTCCGCACCATTTTACTCGCAAGTACCATGGGACTACTTACTGCCCGTCTCCTTATTTACCAGGCTAGTCCTAGTGCCTTCCTAGAAATTATTTTCAATTTAAACTTGCATAAATCATCCTGCCCATCCTATTACCTTGCTTACCAACAAGAAAGAGGTTATTAAGGACAAATGCAAAAAAAATACTCTCAGACCTCATGTTTAAGGGCCAGGTTCAAGTCCACTAAGCTTCACTCTCCTTGTGCTCCACGTTGGTTCAAGATCAGAAACAAGCTCAGTGCTGTGCTCCAAGAGGCAAATAAATGGTGAATCACACTTGTAATTTGAGTTTTCTCATATGATGTGCTACAGGCATGTTTTAAACACAGCCAGAACCCACACTACCTGGGGGATGGCTTCCAGGGTAGAGCGCAGGCTCACAAGGGGAGCGTGCCAGTAAATGCAAACACAGCATTTCAAGCCCAAATCCTGTTTATCCCTTACATACGAGCAATATATTTTTCTGCCCTCTCTGCCCAGGAATAAGGAAGGGGGATGTCCTTTCTCGCCCTTTTGGGAGCTCAAGCATCACGCTTGCCATGATAAACGTGCCCGAACGCCCTCCTCCACACCCGAAATGGTTTCTCTGCTGCGGAACAGGAAGCTCCCAACATGTCTGAACTCCCCCAAAACTGCAGGCTGCACTCCCTGCCCCACGCAGCTTCCAAATGTTAATAAAAGCACGCCAAGCGTGTTACCTACTGTTCGTGCTGCTGGTCAAACCCATCTCTCCGCTGCTTCTCTTCCGCGCTGCCCCGGTTGCAGAACAACCCAGGAAGTTTACTGCTGATGAGAGTCGTTTCCTTCCAGGTTATGGCAGCAGCCTCTCGCCTGCTCAGCTCCGCTGGGTTATTTTCAGCCTCGCACTCCAGATTAGCAGCCGGAATTACGGTGTCCTTGGGCGAGGCGGCACGGACCACGTCCTGGTCACCCAGGCCCACGTCAAGCGAGACCCACTGGAGCTAATCTGTCATTTCAGGGCTGCAGTTGTAGATGGTTTATGAAACAGCACGTTCGTACGCATCGCTCCTACACATACTTTAAAATAGTTGATTTTCTACATGAAGATCTGGACATAATTAACCCAGACACAGCACAGCCCTCCATCAGGGCCAAGTACATGACAGACAAGCTACAGCCAGAAAATTATTTCTAGCACCTGGAACAATATTAACAGATGAAACACAGCCGGGGATCTACTTCCTCCAACTGCTCCAAACAAGGGAAGTGCAGGAATTGCCACAGTTCAAATTCCTGTAAATCAATAAAATAGGCAGTGGATTGAGAGCCTGAAAAACCTAATCTCCTTCAGTTTCAAAGAATTCTCCCTCCCTCACCCTTTCTTCTTTCTTTTCTCCTTGGTAAAAAAGTCTAAATATGTAAACATCAAAAATTTACTCTCAAACATGGAGAAACACAGAGAGCATTTAGTAAGCCTCCCCAGCTTTTTTCTTTTGTTTTTTTGTTTTTTTTTTTTCTTTTTAAGGGAACATCTTAATTTTCATTATTTGGGTATGGCAATGGCAAAGCAAACATCCAGCTTCTTGAAGGATTTATCCAGAAAGCAGACCATACACAAGTCAAAACATAAGTGTGTAGATAGTAACGTTAAAGGATGTTTCTTACATGAGGCTACTCAATTTGATCATTACAGCTGTAAAAATAAGCAATTAAACCACTTGGCTTATTTGTACACTGTGTTTATGAGTGGAATAGCACAAATAGAGCTTGGTAACCCCCACTACAGCAGGAGGTTGTACCAAAAAGAATTTGCTTCAATCACTAGCCCAGCTTGACACATATAATTAAAACCCAGAATCCTTCCCTATTTCAGCATCATGAATCTGCAATTCTTCACAGAAGCACACGTTTTCTTGCTGTACCTGTGGGTACCACAACAACGATCCCATCTGAGAAGCATCACACCAGGAGGGGAAAAAAGCCTCCTGGTTAATTAAGGTATCCACTACTACTGTTGTGGGCAGTAACTCAGCAATTGCTGGAAAACTTCAGGGCAGCTAAAGATCTTGCTTTCAAAATCTTTTCTTAAAGGCGCTAAATTAACCAGCAAGAAAGAATTCTCTTAAATAAATGGGTATGCTCTGGAGACATGAGCCAAAGCTCAATGTGGGAGCTGAAAACCAAGCAGGGAGCCGTCTGCATCACAGCGGAAGAAAACCACAGTCAAAACCATCTCTGCTAATAAAGCAGTGCTGCTACTACCAGTGAAGGGCCAAGGGCAGGGGCATGAAGAAATCCTGTCCCCCAGCTCTGAGGGACAACTTTCCATCACGATGGTAGCCTTATCATTCTGACACAGCAGAATTTGTTCCTTATTCAGTACTGCCACCTTGCGAAATGCTGCTAAATCCGTTGCGTTTTCCAAGCGTCACGTTTTCAGACAGCTTATGCTCGAGATACTCTTGCACTGCGGACTCGTGAGAAGTACGCAGCCTCCTAAAAAATATGCACACCCACCGCACTTAAGAGCCTGTAAGTACTACTTACCACACAGCACCGACCAAGCCAACTGAATTGCTGTTCAGTGTTTTGTCATTTGTGACAGAGGAGTCACTCAGGTTCCAGACGGAGGGTAAGGATTTATGGCTAGCTGGTAGCAATACAGTGAATGAAGGAAAAAAACACAGTAGCTGCCCAATACAGTTTTCAAATCCTATTTTTCATGATCAGACTTCAGGGTGAAATGTGCTGTAAGCTTTTATTTTCATCAATACAGACATGATCACAAATACCCCCAATTAAGAAGAATTGCTGGTGGCACAGGCACATGCACTACACTTGCCAACAGCAGCGTGCGAGGTGTGGGACGGGGCACCCCATGAACGCGACACGCACAGACCTGCGAAGGAACAGCTTAACGTCAACAAGTCAGGAACAGCAGAACCAAACCCAGGAAGGGTTCGCACAGCTCACCGTCAGACCAAGGAACTTCCAGTCACGGCTACACCACAGCATGTGCCTACACACTCAGACTTCACCGTGACGCCGAGTGACAGCTCCAGAACAACCCCTGCTACGGGCAGCTCTGGCATCTGCCGAAGTTAATGCATTTTAACAAAAACCTGTTTCACAGACCTCTTCTGCTTAAAGGAAATAGCATCACAGACCCATTAGTTGTAACCACACGCCTCCATCTCAACCCATCTAAATGATCAAAGCAGAAGCTGGTAACTCCAGTGCAAAAAAGCACAAGCTTGCCTGTTGCAGAGCCTTTGAAAAAGGAGCTAGGGTATATTAGCATAGTCTGACCAAGTGTTGGTTCACCCATCCACATTTAAACAGGATAAAAGCCCATGAAATTAGATTCTTTATTTCCATTTTCCACACTTCCGTTAAAATACCACCTTCAAAAATAAACGGATGAAGTAAGGTCAAATAAACTCGCGGCATAATTGAACAGCAACCCTAGCCAACTACAGTTCCACAGGTGAAACTCTAGGAAACATCATCTTTACTCAAGTTAAATATTGCACCCCTTCTCTAACACAAGTCAAGAGGAGTAAGATATTTCACCTTCAGACAGCATCTAAGAGATTATTGGAAGTACAGGAATAGACTAGAAAGAGGAGAATTTCCTATTTCCAATGACACCAGTATAGCAAAATAGTAGGTTGAAAAATATTTACAAAGATATCTACACAACATGCCTAACAGTGCTCATACGATGCTCCGATGCACTGGAATTGCTACCACCACCATTTCCTTCTCAAAGTCTGCTGGCCTCTCCAACGAGCGGACCAGATCTGCCCCTCAGTCCTACTCCAATTAAGAGCCTTCTTGTTGGTCTTCGATCTTTGGAGCCAGGTAGTATTTTAAGTGACCCATATCAGCAATCTTGTACTCCACAACTGGGAAAAAGAAGAAAAAACAGCATTCAGAAGGTTTTTCAGAAAAGCTACCCAGCCAAGAGTTCTTAATGCAGTTCTAAGGTGGCAGCATTCCACAAGATTAAGTAAAGTGGCTTCTACTTACCCAGAGGAACATCTGCAGACATGCTGAGTGTTACTGTAGGTGACAGGGGAGTGGCTTTGGTAAAAAAATTGAGGTACCTCAGGGCAAAGGTCAATTGGACTGGCTCATTCATCTCTATTGTAACCTAGAAAACCATCAGCCAGGTTAGACTTCAATACACACAAGCCGCAGCAAGTTTCTTCAAGTCTCTCAAATAATTCCGACATCTCCAGCAAAGGCAGGCAGTGCTACTCCCTACTCTGGTTCTGCTGAGCACTGCTTGCAGGCCCAAGGTGTAAGGATCTAAAGTTGGCAACAATTTGTTAACTCTAATCTATCAACCAGAGAAATACATGATCCAATCACCCAGCTTTAGCACCCAACAGGTCAGAGAATCAGTCATATTAGTATAAACCTCAACACTGAGGACACCACGGTAACTGCGAAGGCTTAACTTACAGCTTCTTCCTCTTTATCCACGTTACTGGTCTGTGACAGCTTGATGTTTCCATTGCCCAGCTCTCCATTGGCTGAAAATTTCACACCGTCTTTTGCACAGGAGATGACAACTGCATCGCCGATGTGGCTCAGATCTCTACAGATGCGTGCAAATTCAGCAGAAGGCATTTTCACTACACAACTATATTCTTGCTCCTGCGAAGGAAGCGTCACAATTAAACTTCTACCACGAAGCCTGGTGTAGTCGCTATACTTGAGTTTGTCTAGTCTTTCCAAAGGAAAATTACGTTACCAGCTCAAACTCCAAGGCTGACAGGAACATGGGAAAACACCCATTTCTAAGAGACAGTGTAGTCAGTCATTGGAGCCACTACTTACTGGAATTCCAAGCTGTTCCACATCGAGATCCATTAGCTTCATCTCATAATCAGAAACCTTTTCCTGATCTAAAAGAAACAAAGCATAGTTTGACCAAGGTGTTTCCAAGAAGTTACCATCCTGATTTTAAGTTTTGCCCCTTCCCCCTCACCAAGTAAAACCACCTCAATTATGGCAGTAAGATCTACCTTGTTTAGAGTTAGAGATCTGAAAGTGACTCAAACAGGCTTTTGTTGGCTCTAAGAGGACATCAGCCTGCCAAGAGCATCTGTACGTGCCCTAAAGAAGCACCCTGCTCTTACAAAGAAAGTATTGGTCAAGTTGACCACGCTAACATCTCCAGACTGTTTCAAGAATTTAAGTATCAGATGACCCCTCCCATTTCTGAACTATTTATTGTCATTTCCTTCCCCCCCTGCATCCGCATGGTTTATGAAGACTACCTAAAAATACCACGGTAGCAAAGCAGTTCCCAAATCTAACACTCACTCGGTGCTTCAAACACTAGAGCCAACGTATCCGCATTGTCTTCTGCTCTGAGAGTTATGATATCTTCGTTTCCAGCACATTTCAGTATTTTGGACATGCTACGGAGGACAAAGGGTAAGTTACTCACAGGATTGCAAGCAGACAAAGCAGGAACACTCGCCCACTGCCAACTACAGACTGTGAAGGCCAGCGAGAAGCCGCCGGCACCCCCAGCACACGGAGCTGCGCAGAAGGGGCAGGGCTCGGCTCGTCC